TGTAGCTAGCTTCTAGGTTGGCAAAATTATTATGGTTATGGCTGCGGGTGTTAGTATGTGTCGCTTTAAGTTACAGGACCTTTGATCTTATGATCAACCACATGGGCAGAGAAGGTTTTGCAAACAGATTCAGATCAACAGCTTTGAATAAGGGTAGAGCAGAATGATGGATCAGCAAGTCGCAACTATACTAATGTATCATTCAGCATGTTAGTTTCAACTAACAGCAAGGGTTCAACGCATTTAGAACATACGTGGATAATGCTACTCCAACCGTGCTGGGACGGCTGCAAAGAAACTAGTTAGCTATGCTAGTCTTTAGCATGGAGGTTGAGTGGCTGCTCTCAAGCCCAGAGTCTTGTGGGACAAGGATGGACCAACTCTTATTTAGGCCTATTAACATTTTAGTGCAGGGAATTCGCCTGACACCAAACATATGCGCATTCAACAACAGTAACTTCCAGCAAAGTCACAATAGGATTATTACCGTTTGTTTCTTTAACAGTGACGGTCCTCCAGCTTTTACCAGGCCACAAGAGTATGTCACCGGGACAAATAAATAAATAATCAAACGCTCTGGCGCGTATAAACTAGTCCTGCCATTTGGTATTTCACAGTGACGGTCTCACAGACAACAACTAGTCCTGCCGTTTGGTGTTTCACAGTGACGGTCTCACAGACAATAAAGAGTCACTCGTGGTGCTCTCAGTAGCTCTATCACTATTCAAGCTGATCTCTGACTTTGCCTGGGAACCCTAGCAATGCAGCAGCGAATTCTCACTGTAACATCAAACAACACACAGTAACCAAACTAATATCAGTCAAATTATGTTTTCTGTACAATTACGAGCAATTTATTCAAGTGCCCGCATTCTCCACCAATATGTAGGAAATACTGATTGTTACATAATTTATAATTTATTCTGTGGCAGCATTTATTAAGTAAATGCTCGCTGACATTCTCCACCATTTTGTATGAAAAGTTTGATTGATATGATTCATTTAGGGTTTTCATTCTCCACCGTTACATATGTAAGATTTGTTTGATTATGAACAGTTTATTCAGGTGCCTACGTTTTTCATCATGAATACTGTAGGGTTTGATTAGCTCAGTATTAGGAAAAAGTTACGTTAATAAGAATTATTAAACATAACCACTTTAATTATTCGTCCAGCGATATAATTTCATAGTCAGACTAATAAAACCACGCCTCTTGTTGATCAGACAAGATTGTTTAATGCACTTTGGTTAAATTATTAATTATCAATTTTCAATTCAAATAGAGCTCAAATAGCCAGGATCTTTGCACCCGTAAAGTGACTGAATGTGTTTATAGACAAACATTTATTCTAAACTCCTGACACAGAAGACCAAGACGCAATACAACTAGCAACAGACAAGACAATGAGTAAATGCAACTATGAGTGGAATGAAATGAATACAGCGATGCTAATGAATGAATGAATGACCAGAGTGAACCAGATGAAGCAGTGAGCAATGGTGAGATAATCATCAGAGGAAACTTTAACATGGACCTGTGAAAAGCACCATTCAACAGCTGAGTGGCATGGGAAGCAAAGAGGGAAATATCTGAAAACTTAGGGGAAATCCTAGTTTTATTTAATGCTCCCTACCATACTTATTAAACTACGCATCAAACCCCAGTACAGGAAAATTATGTTGTTTCACCTGAGTTGTAGCAGACCAGAAAGAAGATGCTCTGGAGGGGGAAAAGGAAAAAGCAGCGCTGCTCCTTGGTGTGAACCGCACCTGGTGCTGTCCCACGGGGCAGCCTGCTCAGCTGGTCCTTCTCTTCTCCTCGGTCGAACTTCACTGCTTCATCTGGTTCACTCTGGTCATTCATTCATTCATTAGCATCGCTGTATTCATTCATTCCACTCATAGTTGCATTTACTCATTGTCTTGTCTGTTGTTAGTTGTATTGCGTCTTGGTCTTCTGTGTCAGGAGTTTAGAATAAATGTTTGTCTATAAAGTCGTTGTCTTGGTTTTCTGTAGGATTACATTCAGTCACTTTACGGGTGCAAAGATCCTGGCTATTTGAGCTCTATTTGAATTGATAATTGATAATTAATAATTTTTCCAAAGTGCGTTAAACACTCTTGTCTGATCAACAAGAGGTGTGGTCTTATTAGTCTGACTATGAAATTATATCGCTGGACGAATAATGAAAGTGGTTATGTTTAATAATTCTTATTAACGTCACTTTTTCCTAATATTGAGCTAATCAAAGTATTCATGATGAAAAACAAAGGCACCTGAATAAACTGTTTATAATCAAACAAATCTTACATATGTAATGGTGGAGAATAAAAACCCTAAATGAATCATACCAATCAAACTTTTCATACAAAATGGTGGTTTGCACATCATCCTCTGACCACCAGAATCTGTAACACACAAGCGGTAAGAAGTGCACTGGCTTTCTGAAATAATCATCTTCTGAATAATATCACGTAATGTTTAGCCATCATCTCACTTCCCTTCACTGATCAGAGTCACTATGATCTCTACGCTGCGGCCACAGCGGGTTTCCATGGCAACGCCTGCGAACTACAGAGATTAAATAGTCCGCTCAGCTGTGGCTTGTGAAAAACTCATGATTTTAACTGTAAAACACATTAAAACATAAATAATTGATTTAATATTCATTTATTTGGTAAGTGACCATGGTTAGGTTAGGATAGGTGTGCTAGCCGCTCCCCCCGCCGATCTCCGCAAGGGATGTGAGGACTCTTAAACTTCACCAGAGCCTTCCTCAGCATGAGGGTGAGTAGATAATGTCTGAATTTTCATTTTTTGGTGCACTATCCCTTTAAGAGATCATCCAAGTAGTAAGATGAACTGACAAACTGCCTTGGGTTAGGGTTCTCATCCAAGTAGTCTCACATATAAAATAGGGTTAAGGTTAACCCAAACCTTGTTTCCACTTTGTCCTTTAAGAAAAAAGTGAAAAAAAAGTAATCAAATAACCAAATACAGTCTGGCTAACAACTACAGTAGCATAACTATACATAAATTCAATGATCATCCCCACCATAACATACTGTATGACAAGCTGAACTCAAAATTTACAGCACTCAAGCCTGTTCTCTCTGTGTACAAGCAGGCTCTTAATGTACTAGACAAAAAAACCCAGTTCTCACCATCACTGCAACATGCAAGATGGGAAAATCTAATGAAAAACTCTGACACCTGCCTGATGTTTAAGATCCTATAGGGCAAGGTTCCGCCACCACTCAGTACTTTCATAAGAGGGGACTGCATTAGAGAGGATTTGGTTAATCCCACCTCTTCAAGTCAATCAGAGAGCATTCCTTCCTGACGAGAGAGGAAACCTTGTCTTTGTGTATCATGTGGCCAACATGTCCTGGTCTCACAAGACCAGTACTAACAAACTTTCTTTATTTCTTTCTCTTTTTTACACACACTTTCAGCTCTCTGTCTTATCAAATCCCCAGTTCGTTTTTGACCTCAGCCTCCTAATCAGTTTACCATGTGATGACATTAGTTGGTGGACCTGCATCACTCCCACCAACTGCAAGAGGAAGACTGGCATACACATGCCATTATTCAGTTGGAATCTTTGCTGCATGTGATTTGCTCTTAAAGCCTGATGTTGATGGAAAAGACCTCAAGAGGGTGCTTTGAGGGTGCTTCAATACCTAACCTGTTTGGTTGGGTTAAAACAAATTTACTCCCCTTTGCTGGGTTAATACTGTTCATTTGGCTTGGTGTGAAAGCTGTCAATCAAACCCTGGTACAGACCAAACAATCTAACCAAGACTGTCTGAAAAGGTGGGTCTGTTTCCAGACAAACTCTGGTGTGGTTTGTGGTGTGAAAGCGAACTAACCAACTACACAATTATATGAAAGCAGATATTTGACTTTAGGATGATTAAAACAGCTAAAGTGCTGATAAATCCACTTTGTGATCATGACCATACTGGTGTTTCCAGTAAATGGTAATTAGATGGATATGAGCATTACTTTGTTGTAATGTTCTTTTCTTAATATTATTTTAATGAAGATCTGCTTATGAGTTAATGTGATTTATGTATCAATTTAGGAAAGTCTATTATTTGTATTTTGCACTGAACACCATGAGAAAAGTTATGAGTAGTAAAAATGAAATCACTGAGTTTGTACATTTGTATGCCTCTGTAGAAATATTTAAAAAGGCTATACTTTGTGTATACTGAGGCCTTGTATCTGGACAAGCTGTTCTCATAAACTGCTTGTAGGTTTTCCTCCAAAAAGTAATGCACACAAAATCATACATATCTCATGTAATCATTCATGAAAAATTTTTGAGCCAGTAATTTGTGCATAACCCATGTATTTTGGAAAGCTGCAATCATGTAACCAATGCAGTGACAGGAGTAAAAAAGCCCTGAGTGGTCCACTTAGGAGGGAGGTTAGGTTAGTGGATGCACAGGACATTCCCCAGGAGACAGGTGTTCAAATCCATGTGAACTTTTAATGAACCTTGAGTTATGTTAAGGTATGTCCTCCCCGTGTTTCTTTTCCTAAATCTAACCACAATAACTTCACTTGCTTAAACCTAACTTCTGTATCTTTATGTGAATTACGTAACTTTACGTTAAAGTACATAACTCTAGGCTAAGAACGTAATGTCACTTACGGTTTTCATTCGTATATCACACAAACTGTTGTATGAGGATCTGTGATCATGAATTTAAGTAAATCAAACTCTTTATCCTCTCTAATCAGTTGTTTAAATAACTTGCTGCAAAGTGTTGAACAGACCAACAAATGAACCATTACAACAAAAAAATCCTGACAAATGCAAGAAATAAATAAGCTAAAAATCACTTATCACACAGGTACTGTGGGTCCTTTGGGGCCCTGTGCAGTTTGCACTGTGGCAGGTTGTTAATACAGTTCTGGGTCTGTGTGTGTGTGTGTGTGTGTGTGCGTGTGTGCATGTGTGTGCGCATGTGTAAGCATGGATCTTACAACAGCAGGGGAGTTGACCACTGCCAGATTGTAGCCATAAAGCATGGAGCTACCAAAGGAGGTAAGGAACGCCACCGCCAACAAAGAGCCGGTCAGTTGCTGCAAACAGCAGGAGAGAGAGACAGATGTGTTAGGAAATTTGATACAGAGAAACTAGGATTAGGAATAAAAACATTTGATCAACTTTCCTAACCACTCAGGTGGTGCCAGGAGATGGTAGACTTCAGACAGAGACAGAAGATGTTTACTGAGCACAATAAGCTCTTTCACCAGTCAGCCAGTCATGAGTCTAGCCCTAGTAGCGCTAGGGCTTTTTTTATTTTTATGTGTGAAAACCATGTTAAAATTTAAATCAGTATCTTGTGTAGGCCTACTTTAAAACATGTCTGGAGAGGGAACTGAAGTGTCAATGATTGATGTTACAATTACACATTAAATATGTTAATACAAGAGGTATAAGGTTGGTTGAACCTTCAAGGGCGGGGTATGCTTGAAACAAAGTAGTTTGTAAAAAATGTTGACCAGCCATGTCTAAAAGCGCGCTTTCAGACAGTCCTTCCTGGAAGACATTTATGGTGTTGCATTCAGTTGTTCACATTAAAAGTGACAGATGTAGTTAAAAAAAAAACTGAGCTTGTGAGACACCTCACCAATCACTGTGTGAAGTGGGCATGATTGCTTCATTGATTCTTGTGAGTCACTTCAGTTTTATTTCTATAGACGAATTCAGCGAGCGATTTGTGTATGCCGCCATCTTGCGGCAGCGCCATTGCTGCGGTGACATGTGTCAGTCATCAATTCATTATGCTGTCATTGTGAACTGACTCTCTACAATGACAGCATCATGAATAGCTGGATAGATGATGTTAGACAGTGGCCTCCAGTAACTGATGAAGGTAATGAATTGATGACTGACACATGTCACCGCAGCAATGGCGCCGCCGCAAGATGGCGGCATACACAAATCGCTCGCCGAATTCGTCTATGGCCCAATATCACAAATCACAAATTTACTCTAGGGGACTTTACAATCTGTACAGCAGTACAGTTGGTTTATGGGCGAGTAGCCCTAAGCCAAAAGCAGCATGCGCAGGTGAGGTCAGAACTTTATGAAAAGGTAGGGACCAGACTAAAAAAAAAAAAAGCAAAATATAGCAAGGCGAAACGCAAACCCTACAAAGCTTTTTTCAAAAATGCGAGTGCGAGCACTGAAAAAGAGAATGGGGAAGAAGACAGATGTGGAGTTGGCCTGTTTTGTGTTGGACAGGTAGGTAATAGCTTAGTTAGCTATCAGAGGCTTACAACAAATGTACCTACAAAGGCACTTCTCATAAACTGTTTGTATGTTTTCCTATGAAAAGGAATGCCCCCAAATGAATACTTATCCCACACATTTATGAGTCAGTAATTGGTGCATAAACCACTTAGTTTGGGAGGCTGCAGTGCACAGTGCGCTGATGGGAGTAAACAAGGAAGCAGTCCCGAGTGGTCCAGTGGAGGTAGGTTGTGGTGGTGGATGGGTCACAAAACTACAGACCTTCCCCTGGGACTTTCCCCAGGAGAGGCGTGAACTTTAACTGAACTTTGAGACATTTTAAGTTATGTCCTCAACATGTTTCTTTTCCTAAAATTAAGGTCAGTGACTTATTATGTAACTTAAAGTTAAGTGCACAACAACATTCGTGAGGCACTAATTCATAGTATATATGAACTCTCATTTTTCGTAGGATATCAAACAAACAGTTCTATGAGGATACATTGACCTACAAGCAGTGTAAGAAGGAGGGGTCAAGCTGGATGTTGTGTTTTCAAACAGTAACCAAAAAATAGTGCTTAGTATACCTTTAACAGAAAATATGTGTGTTGTTCTTAAACAGTGGAAGTCTTAATTTGACATGAAGCTCTTAATTTGCTCTTAAAAAAACCCATCTTGTTTGCATTGTTCACATTCCTCACTGCATTCCTCACGCAAACCAAACGGCATGGTTGGCTGACAATTGTGAGGGAGCAGAGAGACAAAGACAGAACCTTTTCCCAACAGTGTAACCATTATCTGGTCAAGAGAAATATATCCAGCTTAACTTTAAAATGTCAAGGTTACCTAAAGGGGGGATAAGATAAGATTTAATGTGGGTCATATAGGCCTGATCCTATACGTATGTTGACTACCATATATGCACATCTATATTGGCTAGGAGGAAGGAGAAAAAATCCCCCCTTGTTTATTTCACAGCAAACAGACAGGATTTATACACATGCATCAAACACAAGATAATATAAGATGCACTCTACACTTTATTCTTTATCAACAACATAAGGAACTAAAATTACCACCTTGTGGTTGTTAACATCCATGCCTGTGAAAACATGTATGCTTCACAAACATCTTCCTCCTGGCAGCACAGAAGATCTATACAATCAGCACAGTTTCAAGGTGGACACCCAAGATTAGTGTCTTCAATTCAATATCTGATATCTGATGTCTCCCCTTCTGTTCCTGAGATATGACATTGAATAATGGCCAGAAAAGTGGATTATACAGAACATTATCATGCCACAGTGAATCTGACTTTTGACCTTTTGGATATAAAATATCATCATTATCATATCCTAATAAACATCTGTATGACTTTTTGTCGTAATTTTATTTGTATTTTTGCGTAATGGCCATAAACATGTTTTGTGAGGTTACAGTGACTTTGACCTTCAACCACCAAATGCTAATCAGTTCATTCCTGAGTCCAAGTGGAGTGGGATGGATGCAAGGTCACAGTGATATTGACCCATGACCACCAAAATCTAATCAGTTTATGGTTGAGATCAAGCAAATGTTTGTGCCAAATCTGAAAAAAAAGGTTTTCTTGAGATATTGCTTTTATGAATGAGACAGACTAAGTCACGGTGACATTGACGTTTGACTTATTATTGCCAAAATCTAATCAATTTATCGTTGAGTAGACGTTTGTGCCAAATTTTAAGAAATTCCCTCAAGGTGTTCCTGGGATATCACATTCACAAGAATGAGACAGACAAGGTAACAGTGACCTTTGACCTGAGTCCAAGTGGATATTTGCTACCTCAATGATATCATGTTCGCAACAATGGGATGTACAACCAGATAACATAATGCCTGCTGCGGCCACGGCTGTCACTGGCACAGGGGTATAAAAAGTAATAATACTAGGATGAAACACAGAAAAGGCTTTTGTATCTGTCAGTTGACAATGGCAAAATTTTAAATAATTTGGTATAAATGAAGTGGTGATAAACACTATAAAAGCTATCCATGACACCCCACAGCAAGAAACAAAATAAATGGTAATTCATCCAAACCTCACATTAGAAAGAGTAGTGTAAAACAAGGCTGCACCTGGTCCCCTGTTATTTTTGCAACTATTTCTAGAAAGAATGTGTGAAAAAATATGACCCTCTGTACTGTAAAATCAAAGATCTTGCAATGTGGAATCTCATACCATTTTAATTTTCAGTTCAGGAATTTAAAGAGTTAAAACCAATGTTCAACCAAGATTTTTATATTTCTTTTCCAAACCCTCCCTAGCACAATTACTCAAAACCAATTCACAGAATAAAAAATGGTATCAAGATTTATATGGCAAGGCAAAAGACCTCAAGTACAATATAACACATTACAACTACCAAAAGAAAGGTGGCTGGGTTTACCATCTTTGAAACATTACTGTATTCCAGCATGGATCAGAGCATTATTTTGTGTTGGTGTAACCCATCTTAAGAGGCACAATGGGAAGACATTGATTATAGAATGATATCTACAGTAATGCTCATATAGAGGGTGTACTAATGGATATAAACCTGCAAAGATACACTACATAGATAGACTGGAAAACCAATGGGTATCAGTTTTGAGAATGTAGAGAGCGGTAATAAAAGGACAAATTAGAAAAGACATTACATTCTGAGTGAGTAAAAAATCTATGATAAATTTTGGATTAAAAAAAGTTTTAACATCTTTCTTTATCTGGCATTATACAGAAAGATGAAATTGTGTTTTAAAACTTTGAGAGACTTCATCATTAGTAAAGCAAGATCTGTATAAATATATACAATTAAGACGTTACTACAAGTAGAACATCACAAAGAAAAATACCAGAGAAGACTTGAGGACTCTTGGAAGATTAGCCAATGAACTAAGGGATTGAAAAAAATGTTAACTCTTTATCCAACTAATTCATAATTTTAAAAATGTACAATTTGTCAGTGCTACATATTGAAGATTGTCTGATGTCATTCATATGTTGACTTGGAGCTGGCCAAGTGCGTTTTCATGTAAACTGGACTAAAACTGTACAGTTTACTTCATATTATTTAATTTGCCCCACTCAAGATATTACTGAGTTCACCCAAGAACAAAAACGATCCAAATAATGTTGCTCCAAGTTTTTTTTAAAAATAAAATCGAAGTAATTGCTTTTAGAATAGGTTTTATTTATCATCACAGATTTGATGATTGTAATTTCTGATGATCTAAGATCTTACAGAGTTGCAGCTACTGATCTTCTATATCCCAAGGGAATGTTAAAGTTTGAAAGTAGGTAGTAAATGCTATTAGCTGCTGGGACTCTGTGTCGAGAACAATAGGGGATCAGTCAGCTGACGGCCCTGGCTTTAGATTTGACCTGATTTATGCAGTCAGTCTGAACTTACCGATGTGATTTTCCCCGACGGAATTAAAACCTCCTCGGCCATTTGGGAGATCTGTTATCCAGTCCCAAACAGCAACCAGCAGAAGGGTCTCTCTTTACACTGCAGAGGATCTCATGGCTGTAGTAGCAAGCGTGAACACACAGTGTACACACGATTAAGTCATCAGCCCAGTTCATGTGCAATGGGCCTCTCCACCCTGCAGCAATCCACAGCCCCCGATAACAAGACCTGCACAGTGTCATCACATGACAGAGAGCAGCGTGACAGACTGAGAGAAAAGCCTGCTGGAAGCAATTAACTTTAAGTGAATTTACAAAAAAAGAGACAGAAGAGGAGGCAAGGAGTGGAGGAAACAAGAAGAGAGGCGAAGAGAGGACAGAAGAGGAGGAAACAGAAGACAGCAGAAGACAGGAGAGTAGATAGGGACACAAGGAGAGGAAATGAGAAAACAAATGAAGAGAAGAGTGGAGGGAACAAAGAAAGGAGAGGAGGACACAAATGAAAGGAAGGAAACAATAGAAGGAGAGAGGAAATAAACAGAGGAAGAAACAAGGAGAGGAGGGGAAAAGACAGGAGAAGAAAGGAGGAAACAAGGAAAGAAAAGAAGAAAATAAATGGAGGGGTAGAAACAAGAGGGTGAGAGGAGGAAACAAGGAGAGGGGAAAAAGACAGAAGAGGAGAGGAGAGGGGAGGAGGAAACAAGGAAAGAAGTGGAGGAAACAAATGGAGGGGAGGAAACAGGAGGAGAGAGGAAATGCATAGAGAGGAGGAAATTAGAGGATGAGAGAGCAAAGGAGAGGAGAAAACAAGGAGAGGAAACAATAAAATGAGAGTAGGAAGAAATAGGATAAGAGAGGGGGCAAGGTAACAAGAGAAGAGAGGCAAATATACCAGAAGTAAAGAAGTGGGGCACTAAAAGGGAAAGGTGAGTAGAGGAGATTAGAGCAGGATAAAGGGAGCGGAGAGATTTATATAATACACTTATGAATGTTAACTAATGGGTGTTTAGAAAAATACATCTAAAAATCCAAAACACACCAGAATGGTCTGCTCTGTAAATATGCTAAGCATATGTGATGTGTACATATTAAAACATGCTTTGGTCCTTGAAGTAAACTTTTTAAACTGCTATTGCTATTTTTACCTAAAGGACAACTTCGGTATTTTTCAACCTGGGCTCTATTTCCCCATGTGTATGTGTGCGTATGATTCATGGGTACAACTCATTCTCAAATTGGTTCAGTATTGAGGCGCGAAACGAGCTAAAATGGTAATGGGGGCAACTGTGTCCTGTATAAAAGTGCTGTTTTTCGCCACTGACTGGTTCAGATCGCCAGTGCTATCTCTGTAGATAGCATATTGTAGCAGCCCTGGGGCAGTGGTGAGTGTGAATGAGTGGAGTCAGCTGTCAGTCAGTGTTGGAGCAGAGAGGTCCCCGCTGGGTACTGTAAGTGAGTATGTGTGTGTGAAGTGTGTGTTATGCGAGTCAGAGGACGGAGTCTTTTACGTGCTACCCCCTGGAGTGTTACTGGAGTTTTTGGAGTGCTCAAATAAATGGGCCTTTTTCCCGAACGCAAGAACAGGATGTCACGCAACACCCCGTAAGTTACAGCTTTCATAGGCTGCCTTTGTCGGACGGAGAGATGCTGAAGTTGTGGCTAGTTGTGCTACAAATGGACGCTAACACTCCTCTCCAGACACTGCGCCTTGCAGACCATTGGGTCTGCAGTGCTCACTTCTCCCAAGATGACTATTGCCAGCTGAAGAAGAGAAGACATCCAATCCTGAAACACCTCTTCCTCAAGAAAATGGCTGTCCCACGAGTAGAGAGAGCTACAGACACAGTGGAGCAAAGCTTGTGACATCACACAGCACAGAGGTAAGGGAAAGGCTAAGTTAGTATGCTATTTACAGAGATAGCACTGGCAATCTGAACTGGTCAGTGGTGAAAAAACACACACTTAATACACACATACTCACTTACAGTACCAAGCGGGGATGCCCACCCCCTCTCTACTCCAACACTGACTGACAGCTGACTCCACTCATTCACACTCACCACTGCCCCAGGGCCGCTACAATATGCTATTTACAGAGATAGCACTGGCGATCTGAACCAGTCAGTGGCGAAAAAAAGCACTTTTATACAGGACGCATTTGCCTCCATTACCGTTTAAGTTCGTTTCGCACCTCAATACTGAACCAATTTTAGAATGAGTGGTACCCATGAATCATACACACACATACACATGGGGAAATAGAGCCCAGGTTGAAAAATACCGAAGTTGTCCTTTAAGTAAAGAATCAGAATGCTTATTTCACAACCAAACATTTATCATTTTGGTTGCAGTTTGCAAAAGCAAAACCATTTTTCTCTGTGACTTATCACTGGGTGCAAATCACCCGTCTAGCATTACACATTTTTTAATCCTATGACTTTACCTCCAGTGCTGTTGCATGAAAGGCTGCTTTTGTTCAGAAAATCCTGCCTGTTGGCACAGTCATTCTGTCTATTAGCCTACAAATCATCACACTGCGCCCAGTTACTATTACACAACTATACATGTGTAAATTCCACCAGCTGGCCTGAGAACAGCAATACTGTATGTCACCATTGGATAAAAGCACTATCCGGTTCTCATGTGAAAAATGGATTCAGCCCAGGCAACGCTCAAATGTCAATCCAATTTATTGGGCACTGAGTTTGAAAGACATACTAAGTCATATGTCTTTTCCACCAAAATTATTGCATGTATGCAGGTTTTTTAAACACTGGTGAACCTGCTAAAAATAGGCTATATAGTCCTTTTGCATTACCAATAGACAAGAGTGGTTCTGTAGCAGACAAGCATGGCTTTCTGTGTGTGTGTGGTGTTTTTTAAATTTTTTTTATGTGTCCTGTTTTACATCACGGGCAGGTCGAAGACCAGGTAGAGGGGCAGGGACGCCTACTTCTTTTTATATATCTCTTAGTTATTCAATCTCTGTTTCAAACTAGGTGCAATCTAATTTGTATCTAAGTTTGAGTGCTGTTTAGACAGAGACATACAGTATTTTTGCGGTGGCCTTTCATTGTATTTTGCGAGTAAATTAGCTAAAATAAGCATGTTCATGGGTGTTGGGTTCAAATCAATGCTGATCGGAGCCAGAGACAATAAATACCTGTGTCTACAGCAGAGTTATTTGACTCAGGTGTGAGTATGTTTCCATAGCCAATTAAAAGCTTTCCCATTACATTTAAAAATCAGATGTTAACGGGTGTTTGTGGGTTTTTTTGTGCAGTGGAAAAGGGGCTTAAGAGATATATAAACAGAAGTAACCACTGTAAAGTTTCAAGCTGTTCTCACAAATTTTTCATATGTTTTCCTATGAAAAGCAATACACCCAAATTCGTACATATCCCACATATTTCGAAAGGCTGCGAGTCATTTTAAGAGGCATTTAAAGGTATGTCCTCAACATGTTTCTTTTCCTAAATCTAACCACAGTAACTTTTATTACCTGAACCTCAGTATCTTTATGTTAATAACATAACTGTAGGTGACATCATTTGTGGTGCACAAATTCATAGGATTTCATACAAACTGTTGTGCAAGCATTTCTCGTAGGGCATCAACCTGTTCTATGTGAATATTCTGAAAGTTTTCACAGGCCCCCATGCTGCTTTCTATGGTTCACTAACCTGTTTTCTGGCCTTTCCATGAAGTCGAACGTTGCAGACCAAAAAACAAAAACAAACAAACAAAAAACACACAATATGGATGTAAATTGTTATCTAATATGGAAAACCTGTTGTAGAATAAATGTTAATTCATGTTTCTTTAATCCATGATAGGCCTTCTTGCTCTTCTAAATCCTATATTTACACATCAAAATGCCCTCAAGTAATGTTGCTTAAGTCAACATCAGTTGAGTTTGAAGTTTACAGGTTTTAACAGTAAAATAATCTGGAGGTTTGGAGTTAGAAAAAAAAAGTGAGCTTAACAGACATCTGGAGCCCAGTGCTCAGCTCTGCTGCAGGCTAGATACTGTACATAAGCTGCTACTGCAAAACACACATGAACTTCAGACAGACTTCTGCAGTGCTGAACAGATATAAACCAATATTCTGTTACTGCACTATTTCTCACTTACAATATCTACATAAACATATTTTATTTTGTTTAAATATGTTGAATTATAATTTTATGGGTTATTGTTTGTCGGCCGATTGAGCTAAGCTAACTAACGCTAATGTCAGCTGTCACTTGTTGCCATAGCAACGGTAAACATTCACATACGGGCTAAGTGCAGAGTGCAGAATCAAGCTTCATTGTAAATATAGTTAAGATACATTGTATTTAACACAGGATGTGGGATTTTAGTAGTTAGTAAACTTTTAGAAAAGAGCTATTTACCATCACTCTGACGTCAAACAATGGAGACAGGTAATAAAATACTGCGATTATCCTATCTACAAGCAACCGCTAGCACTGGAGTCCTTCCAAAAACTTCACCCTGGCCTCTGGTTTTCAAAGAAACATGGTTTTGGGGGCCCAAAAGTGCTGTTGCGTGTGGCCAAACAACCAAATCGCATATAATAATACACGGTTTCAGAAGTACACAGGTCCGTGTGGACTAGGCCTTAATCATGCAAGTAGAAAAACTGCAGTATCTGCCACAGAAGCCTGTCCACTAAATTTAAAAAAGTAAAGATAAAGTGGCATCATTGGATAGGCCCAGGGCTGTCCAGCTCCTCAGCGCTGAACACTGAAGCACTATTACCACTTTAACACTTTTCAATCCATGCACTTTATAAATTATTATTCTCTTAACTGTGAAGGTTGTATGTTGCAGTGTATGTGCTAATTTTGTGTTGCTGATTGTGTTTTCATAGCTACTGTCATGCCCTTTTAAATTGCTCTTTGGAGATAAATAAAGTGATTGAATTGAATTGAATTGAATTGAATTGAATTGAATTGAATTGAATAGCCAGTGGGGATAAGGAGTCCTCGGAAAGAGAAATCCTGGGCGTAAAATTGATTCTGCCTGTTCTGCTCTTC